AAAAAAAGAAAAAAAAGAAAAAAAAAAAAAAAAAAAGACAAGAAACAGAGAAAAATAGAAGAAAAATGAAGAGAAAAACTTTTAAATGAAATTTTAAAAATTAATATTAAAAATATTTCAATAAAACCCCAAAATTAGAAAACTGCGCAGCGCACAAGGGTGGCGCGCACGAAATGGATAGATCGCAGGAGCCATGGAGCTGTCTCTTGAAGAAGGCCTGTTCTGTTCCCTTCCGCCTCTCCATGCGAGTTTTGTATGCTGGAGGCAGAATTATCAGTGGGAACTCTTCCTTTCTCCGTTTCCCCCCAAATGGCTATGTTGCAGGAGCCATGGAGCTGTCTCTTGAAGAAGTCCTGTTCTCTAGAACATCTTCATTGCTCTTGTCTCTGAAATCACTAGATCTCAGCTTTCATGGCCTGTGTAAACTCTTTTAAATTCATCCCTCCTAGCATAGTGTGCTGAAATTTCATAGTATGATCCTTAGTGTGAATCTTTTTCAACCTTAATGCATTGGTTTTTAAAAGCTGGAAATACATATTTTCAGTTCTGGGAAATTCTATGAATTATTTCTTCCACCCTTTCATTCCTTTGTCTCTGTTTTCTATTTCTGAAAGCTATATTGTCTAGATATAGGACTTTCTAGATAAGGTCCTAATTTTCTTATCTATTCTTTCCTGTTTTTCATGTTTTTTGTCTTTTTGCTTTAGTTTTTGGAAATTTTATATTATAACTTTATTTTCTTCTCATCTCTGTATTAAGTTTTTCTTCCCAGCTATTTTATACTTAATTTCCAAAGCTCCTTTTGTTTTTTGAATTTCATTTTGGATGTGCATGTACCTTGTTTTATTTTATGGATTCAGTATTTTCTTTCTCTTTATGTTAATACAAATGATAGGGTTTTATAGTTTTCTTTATCCTGCATATTTTCCATTTTAACCAGATTGCATTGCTCTTATTTTTATCTTTCATACTAGATGTTTTCCTCTATTTGTGGTCCTTGCCTTCGTCTCTCTTTTTCTTTCTCTTTCTCTTTTTTCCCTCTGTCTAAGTTTGGGACTCAACACTGTGTATGGGGTAGAAACTATCAACTGTGACTTCTCAATGGTGAGTTAACTGGATGGTTTTCTTTGGGAAACTCTCAGTGTCACTATCTTTAGGACTTTCTTCTTGGCAGGAATCAGAGTCCCCAGAGAGGACATTTCTAGTCTCTTTTCTAATAAAGTACCTAGCTGCCAGAACTCTTAAGAACCAAGCTCTGGGGAAGAAGGATCAAAAGGTCTCAATAGTGGATAATACACTTGTATCCTTCTAAGGGGGATTGGTTCTGGGACTCACTGAGGATATCAGAATCCACAGATGCTCAAGTTATTTTTATGAAAATGCCGTAGTATTTGTATATAACCTATGCACATCTTTCTGCATACTTTAAATCATTTTTCTAGGTTACTTATATACCAAATACGATTTAAACACCATGCAAATAGTTACGTTTTTTAAATTGTAGTTTTTTTTCTTTATGGATAGTAGAGTGCATGCATGTGTATGGGAGGAGAGGTGGGGAGAGAAGCATTCTTCACAGGGTTTGGTCATGCCATGATCCCTTTCTCTAGTTCTCTTGCCTGTCAGATCTTGGGTTCACTTGTCTGTGCTCAGCATGTTTAAGGCTGACTGGGCTGGGGATTTGAACTATAATCACCATGTATGATTGGCCTCTTGTTATTTGGTATGCCACAGAACTGGACCTAAATTGTATTATTTTTTATTTAATTTTTTTTTTTTTTGGAGAGTTTTTTTTGCTACAGGGCACATGTGCTCGACAGAAAGAGAGAAACAGAGAGACAGAAAGTGAGAAATCATCCCCCCGCAATCCCTTCTCCTCCATTTTCCTTTCGGGATCTTGGGCATGCACGCACACGTGCCTGGCGTGAGTTTAAGCCACTGGGTCCAGTATTTGAACCGCGGTCAACTACGTGAGAGTCCAGAAACATAGCCATTACACTAACTGCCGGTCCCTTTAATTTATTTTTTCAGTAGTTTTCCAAATGTTTTTAGTCTTTGGTTAGTTGAATTTGCAGATGTGGGAAACTGCGGGTACATAAGACCTCTTAAGTTTCATTTAATCTCCCTGCTTTTGATATTTGCCCTTTTTTGCCTGATAATGTTCCATTGAGAGAAATTTTATTTTACACTCTTCTGGATTAACGTATCCAATCTTCTTTCAAAACTGGAGACATAGTGTATTGGGTGCATGGTGTGAGAGAGAGACCTGAGGGTGCTAACTTGTAAATAGGCTTTCAACCAGTCTGCACTACCATCCTCCTCCCCACCCTCTCATGCTTTATCTTTACACCCTGTCCAGAGAAAGATCAAATTCTGTTGATTCCTATGCCTTTTGGGGTTCTATCATATTATGTAGAGGGCTCTGATTTCCCCGGTAGGCTTCAGGTTTTTCACATCTGTTTTGGGAGTTTCCTCCTTTTTTCATACTAAAAGGGACTCTTCATCCCTTTTTGTTTTTGTGAATTATGGCTGTATTATTATTTACTCATTTTATAGGGTAACAAAATATGTGTAGAACTCTTAGCACAAATTTACAGCCTAATGATTTTTATACATGTGTACACCCATATACTCATGACCCAAATCAAGAGAGAGCAATTCCAAAGGCCTTGAAATTCTCTCCTGTTCCTTTCAAGTCCATGCTCTCTTGTAAGCACCATTTTGATTTCTATCATCATAAGGTAGTTTTGCCTGTTCTTCATTAACATAGATTCATGTAGTATGTAGTCTCAGTATGAAGCCTTTGTATCTGGTTTCTTTGGCTCAAAGAATTGGTGAGATTCCTCAAGGTTGTGGGCATTGGGATTTTTTAAAACATTTATAAAACTTCTATGTATTAATTGCATCATTTGTGTATACCATCATTCATTCTTCTCTGCGTATGCACTTGGATTTTCAGCTTTTGTGAATATCACTGTTGTGAATATTGCCATAAATATTTTTGCCATGCATCCATTTCTCATTTTATATCTGTGAATGGAATTTCTGGAATAAATGATTAGCTTTAGTAGAGATTGCCAGTTTTCCATATGACTACCTATTTTTAATCTTCCACCAGTGAAATATGAGAGTTCCAGTTGTTGTCTTCCTAACATTGGTTAATCTTCTAATTTTTAGTGAACTGCTAACTGTATAGTTGGTATCATTATGGATTTTAGTTTCTTTTTTTTTTGAAGAAATAGTGTGTTGAACACCTTTTCACATGCCTTTTAAATGCTGTCTTTGTGATGTGGTAATTCATGTCTTTTTTTCGTTAAGAAAAATATATTGTTTAAATCTTTCAAGAATCATTTTAGTGGGGTTTGGGAGGGAACAAGGCTAACTGCAGGTAGGTAACCTACCACCTATAAATGGAAGTCAAATAGTACTAAGATTTCATCTATATTTTTTCTCTTTTCTATCCTCTCCAATGTGTGATTGAACACTTTTTTTATTAGCTGGATATATTTATAGTATAATGAACTTTACAACAACACTCTTTTCTAACCATAAAGATTGACATACAAGGCAAATTGTTTATTATAAGAAACTGGAACAAGAAAATTAATACATTCTGGTTTATTTTGTCTCTTTCTTAGTTAACGAGATGTTTAAGAGAAATATTTATCCATTCATTGTATATATCGAGTGCTTTCTTTATGTTAGTCCTAATGGTTTATTTCAGGGATACAGTAGTGAACAAGGCAGAAAATAGGTTCCTTTTCTCTTGAAATACTATTGGGTAGGAGTGGTAGATAATAAATAAGCAAACAAATAGCTAAGCAAGATAATGTTTCCTGTTTTGCAGAAATGGAGCAAGAACCACAAAATGGAGAACCTGCCGAAATTAAGATCATCAGGGAAGCATATAAAAAGGCCTTTTTATTTGTTAATAAAGGACTGAATACAGATGAATTAGGTCAGAAGGAAGAAGCAAAGAACTATTATAAACAAGGAATAGGACATCTACTAAGAGGAATCAGCATTTCATCAACTGAGTCTGAACACACAGGCCCTGAGTGGGAATCTGCTAGACAGATGCAACAGAAAATGAAAGAAACTCTACAGAATGTGCGTACCAGATTGGAAATTCTAGAGAAGGGTCTTGCCACTTCTCTACGGAATGACCTTCAGGAAGTGCCCAAGTTATATCCAGAATTTCCACCCAAAGACATGTATGAAAAGACACCGGAGCCTCAGTCCTTTGGCTCACCTCCTCAGCACTCTGAAGTAAATGGTGCAGGGTCAGCTGTTGCACCTAGTACTCTGTGTCTACCATCCCAAAGTTGTCCAGCAGAGGCACCGCCAGCTTATACTCCTCAGGCTGCTGAGGGTCACTACACCGTATCTTATGGAACAGATTCTGGGGAATTTTCATCAGTTGGAGAAGACTTTTACAGGAATCATTCTCAGCCACCTCCTCTTGAGAGCTTAGGGCTAGATGCAGATGAGTTGATTTTGATACCAAATGGAGTACAGATATTTTTTGTAAATCCTGCAGGAGAGGTTAGTGCACCTTCATATCCCGGGTACCTTCGAATTGTGAGGTTCTTGGATAATTCTCTTGATACAGTTCTAAACCGTCCTCCTGGGTTCCTTCAGGTAAGCCAAAGGAAAATGTGAACATAACTTGAAATGTGTATGTAATACAACATTTTATTTGTTAATATAGTCATGCATTACCTAATGTTGAAGATACATTCTGAGAAGTATATTATTAGGCAATTTCATTATTGTGAACTGAATATTTTTTAAAAAGATGTAGAACGTGCGGGGGCAGCAGATGGCAGAGCTGTTACGTTGCCGTACTCCCACATTGCCAACTGGTTCCAATCCTTCACACTGGGTGTGCCTGCATGCATGTGTGCCCAAGATCCCAGGAGGAGAATGGAGGAGATTGGTGATATGGCCATCCTCTCTAAGGGGGGATTTTTCACTTTCCCTCTCATTATTTCTTTCTTCCTCTGGTGAGCACACGTGTCCTAAGGCAAAAACCTCTTTAAAAAAAAAAATCCTTGAAATTTGTGAATTTTGAATATCTATGTTTGTGTTTGATAGTCTTTATATGTATGTAAAGGCCATAGATTAAAATAAAGTCATATGGGGCTGGCAGATGGCGTGACAGATTAAGGGTGCTGGACTCCCATGTGGCTGACCATGGTTCAAGTCCAAGATGGTCTTCCTTTTTCACTTTCCCTCTCTCTCTCACTCATCCCTGCCTGGTCAAATTTAAATAAATAAGTAAATAAATAAATAAAGTTAAATAATTACTTTTAAAAAATTAATAAAGTCATGTTATGTTAAATTTATGATGATAGAACCTGAGGGAGATTAGTATTCACCTTAAATGTTTAATTTTTTTTTTTGAGAGGTTTTTGCTATAGGGTGCGGGCGCTCCCCTGCCCGAGAGAGACAGAGAGACAGAAAGTGAAAAATCACCCCCCCAGGGGGAATGGCCACGCCGCAATCCCTTCTCCATTCTCCTCTCAGGATCTTGGGCACGCACGCACATGTGCCCAGCATGAGTTTTAAGCCACTGGATCCGGGACGCGAACCGCGGTCAACTACGTGTGAGTCCAGCAACATAGCCATTACACTAACTGCTGGTCCCCAATGTTTAGTTTTTTAATATGAAGATATATTTTTACAAATGTAGTCAAGACCCAGTTGTGGATCTGAACTGGACTAGACCCAGCCCACTGACTAGAACAGAGATTCTCAACTAGTGACAATTTTGCCTCCTCAGGGAACATTTCACAATGTCTAGAAACATTTTGTTTGTCATGACTCAGGGCTGGTTTGTACTGGTATAGTTCATAGAAGCCAGGAATACTGGTAAACAGCCATACAGAACAGCTCCATGTCAACAGAAAAATTATCCAGTTCAAAATCTCAATCATGTTATGATTGAAAAGCCCTGGTCTAGAAGTAGAGACTATAATGATAAGTTCCAGTAGTTTATGCAGATAAATTTACCAAAATACAGTTGGTCTAAGAGCAACCAACCGTTAGTGCCAAGTGAATGTTGGTGTCAGGGCATTGCTATGGATTTAATGAGGTATTCTAAAGACTCTCACCCAAAGGCAATCTGGTTTTAGGTTGGTTGTAGGTAAGGGGAGATGTATTCTTGAGATGAGGACTCAATATGCATTAAGTATAACAAAGGAGTTTCCTTTAAAGAGAGATCTCCAAGCAAAGCAGGTGCTTTTTATCCAAAGACCAGGCAATGTGGTGTATTTATAGCACTGATTAGCTGTATTCCTTCTCTGTTCATTCCTTACTCCACTTTTAATTCTTACACAGTGTTTAAATGCAGTAAACTTGAAAGTTATTTAAAGACAGTTGGAGACTTACAAGGGATGTGTGAAGGAGATATTTTGGGACATTGTTTAATGGACATTACCAGACAGAAATAATAATATGAATCCTGTAGGTTAATTTAGGGGAGAAGCCTTAAGGTTTAAAAAGGTAAAAACTGTAATATTTCTTCTGATTTGGTAATAATGTTGCATTTTATAATGGAATTAAAAATTAGGAGGATCGTAGGGACCAGCAGTTGATATAATGGCTATGTGCTGTACTCCTATGTAGTCAACTGCGGTTTGAGTCCCGGATCCGGTGGCTTAAACTCATGCTGGGTGTGTGTGAGTGCATGTCCAAGATCCATAGAGGAGAATGGAGGAGAAGGGATTAGCACATGGATATTTCCCCTGGGGGGGTGATTTCTCACTTTCTGTCTCTATCTTTCTGGCGAGCACATGCACCCTATAGTAAGAACCTCTCCAAAAAAAGACAAAAAAAGAAAAAAAAAAAACTTGGGGCGGGGGGATCCTCAATAACTGGAGGTGTGGGAAGTGAAAATAAGAAACACCGTACCTGGTGTGTGGAAAACACAGTAATAAATTGTATTATAACCTTTCTGAAGTTTGAGTATTAAAAGACAGTGGCTTTTGAGAGACATATAAAAAAGAATCTATAAATTTTTTTTTAATGTTTATTAAGCACTTTCCAGGAAAGAGGTAGACTAAAGTATTGCAATTTGTGTACGTTTAATTCTGTTGGGTAGAAATGATGAAGTGTGTCAGATTTTTCCACCATCTATGTAAACTCTCTCATGCTCTTTGATTCAGGTTCATCACACAGTGTTTTGATTATAGATTGATTGGCCTTCCAAATTCTTAATAGTAAGACAGTATCCTGGGTGATGAGCACAGTTATATTTTGGCTACTCAAAGAAAGTATCACATTAAAAATGAATAGATGGGGAAATTTTCATTTAAACCTTGTACCTTCTGAGTTTGGATAACCCCAGTATGACTAAGTCTGACTGCACTGACAAGCTAACCTCCCCAGATGACATTGCAGGTAGAACTTTGTATCATTTTGCTCTAACTTCACAATACATAGTCCATAAATATATTGAGCTCTGGTAAGGTTCTCTTGGGTCTAGTCTAAAATTTTTTGTATTTTTGGGGCCAGCAGTTGGTTTGGTGGTTAAAGGTGCTAGGCTGCCACATGGCCAACTGTGGTTTGAATCTCTGACCTGGAGACCTGCTTTCTCACTTTCCTCTTTCTCCCTCCCTTTTTTTCTTTCTTGCTATGTCCCTCTCTGGTCAAATTTAAATAAATAAATAATAAGTTAATAAATAAAATTATTCTAAAATTTTTATATTTCTATATATACACACACGTACTCTCTCTACATTGTAAGTGCTAGATTTCTAATTAAAATAGTTTAGCTTCTTTGGTGCAGACTACACATTTCCAAATCTTAGTTCCACTTTTAGTTTTGTCTCTGAGCAACCTAATTGATCTCTCTGTGCCTCAGTTTGTTGTCCATGTCAGTAATGTCAGTAATACTAATTTTGTGGCATTTTTATGACAATTAAATCAGCAAATACATATTTAATACTTGAAAACAGCTTGAGTTTGTTTATTTACTATGACAGGGATACCTAATTTTAGTAATAAAACCATAATTTACTTTGCTCATTATTTATTTAAAGCAAGAATAATTGTTGATTAACACTGGACCATTTACAGTCCTTGGTTTTAAGATTGTATGATTAGTAGAGCAGTGGTATTTTTAGCGTAGTTCTTATTGCAGGAAGATCAGACTAGTAAATGATTTATTTGTTAATGTTGATGTTTCTATAAAACCATGTATGATACAGTTCAGATTTTGAAATGTTTATTTTTTAGTATAATAATTGTATTGCAATCTATATGAAAATCTAGTTCCTTTCATTTATTATTATTTTTTTTACTTCTAATTTATCCTTTCAGGTGTGTGACTGGTTATATCCTCTAGTTCCTGATAGATCTCCAGTTCTGAAGTGTACTGTGGGAGCCTACATGTTTCCTGATACCATGTTGCAAGCAGCAGGATGCTTTGTCGGGGTTGTTTTGTCCTCTGACTTACCAGAAGATGATAGAGAACTCTTTGAGGATCTTCTAAGGCAAATGTCTGACCTTCGCCTTCAGGTAACTAGTGTGATGATCTTTACTATAAAAATTTATTTTAACATGAGGACCTCTGTTTTTAAGGAAATCATAATAATCTCTGAAGTGATCTAGGTTAGGCAGCTGAGAGTATATAATTTGCTTCTGTGTTCCCAACCACATGTTGGGAATTTGCTACGAAATAGTGGGTAACATTGTGAGCTGTAGAGTCAGATTTGCCTGGGTTTGGATTTAAACTCTTCTACTTAAAGCAGTTTAACTCAGCTGTTACTGATCTTTTCTATACTGTAGTTTCCTTACCATAAAATGGGGGTGATAATAATAATATCCAACTCAGTAGGCTGTGGTGAAGATTGAAAGTTAATACAGTAAAATACTTAACATTAGTGCTTCAAGTGGTAGTACTCTGTAAATGTTAGATTTGTTTTCACCACTGTTGTACTGTTCACTTGGAAAAATGGACTAATGGCATGAAGTAGGGAAGAGAAGGTAGTTTTAGCTTCAGCAGATGGGATATGTTAGACATTTTAGGGGTTAGATTTACATTCTGAGAAAGAAACAGATTTTGGTAGGGAAAGTTATCTTTGCCATAGGGCGGGCGCCACCATGCCCCAAAAAATATGGAACGCTTCACGAATTTGCGTGTCATCCTTGCGCAGGGGCCATGCTAATCTTCTCTGTATCGTTCCAATTTTTAGTATATGTGCTGCCGAAGCGAGCACAGTTATCTTTGTTCTTATAGTAAATGAAGGCTAATAAAGAGAAAATATGATTTTAAAATATGATTATCCTGTGAATTTTTAAAAGAATTATTTATTTAACTTTGTATTTATTCATTCATTTAATTTGACCAGAGAGAGAGAGAGAGAAAGTGAGAAAGCATGCCACCAGGTCTGGGACTTGAACTGTGGTTGGCCATGTGGGGGTGTCCATTGCCTCAATCACCACACTACCTACTGGTCCCCCATCCTGTTTTCTTTGCTCACATGCTTATCTTTTATAGGAACTTAAGATAAAGTATTATGAAGAGGATTTCTTCAGATGTTTTTGTCCATCTTATATTTTTATATAAAAATTTGCCAAAGGGCATGTACATACACTAGCTAGAGAGAGACTGACAGAGGGAAAATGAGAAATTAGTTCCCATGGGGCAGGGTCATGCCATAATCCCCTCTCCTTCATTTTGCCTTCCTTTTGGGATTTTGGATACACACTCACACAGTCAGTCATGTGGAATCCAGCTGCCCCAACCATTACACCACCAGCTGGCTGAAGAAAAATATATATTGATAATATAAAATTTGATATAGCATGCATGTGTTCGCTGGAGACAGACAGAAAGAGAGAAAGCACCCTACCCTCCCTCCCCCACCCCCGGAGGAATGGCCATGCCACAATCTCTTTTCCTCTTTTCTTTTCATGGGATTTTGAACACACATGCCTCCATGCCCAGAATGTTTCTCAAGCCAGTATGTCTGGGACTTGGTCCATGCAGTTGGTAATGCAAGATCCAGCTGCCTCTACCAACATGGCACTCAGTGGCCTAAAAGATATTTTTGATTATGCATATTGACAATTATCTGGTATTGAACAAGGTTTGCAGCATTGTGGTATAAACTTTTGTTCTTTCCTTTAATTAGCAGATACTTAGAATCTACCATTTAATCAGATCCTATGTTAAATAATAGGATGAGAGAAACAGAACAGGAGACTACAAAGAGATACTGATACACATTTAAAACAGCCCTTGTTTCCACATACCTGACAGTGTTCTGGTGATCAGTAGTCAATACTTAGCATAATCAGTAATTGCTTAAGCTATGTTAACAAATACACAGTTGCTATACAGAGGTGTGTAGCCTCAGTATACACATGGAAAGAAGTTTACAAAGGCAGGATCATGGTCAAGTGGATCTAATTCATCTTGTCTTTGCTGTGTACTAATTGAATGAAGTGACTGTCCTAAGTATTCATGAAGCAAGTATGGCATTATTTCTCCCTTTACTCATTGGAGCTGTATTAGTGGACTTAGGAAAGAAATTGAACAGACTTTTAGGTTATATGTTTATTTTCTCTGTTCAATTTAATTTTTTGGTGGAAATATTTTTCTTTCATAATTTTTATTATTTGTGTTGAGGATTAGTACACATATATTTCAGTTTGTACACAGTTAAATATACATGCCATAAGCACAATGTATGTATACTGAAAATCTAAAATGAAATGTATAGAAGTTCTCTCTCTTTTTTAAAAAATAATTATTTTATTATTGCTTTTTAATCTGACCAGAGAGACACAGAGAGAGAGAAAGTGAGAAAGCAAGCCACCGGGTCCGGGACTCAAACCATGGTAGACTACGTGGGAGTCCAGCAACATAGCCATAGCTGTTACACCATCTACTGGTCCCCATCAATAAATTAAAATACTGGTCTGCCAGTATTTTAAGTGTAGCTGAAGTAACCTTCAACTGGAAGAAGATACCGTCTAGAACTTTCACAGCTAGAGAGAAATCAGTGTCTGTCCTCATGTCTAAAGAACAAGCCTTCTTATAGGGGCTAATGTAATTGAAGACTTTTGAGTTGAAGCCAATGCTCATTATTGTACCATTTTGAAAATCCTAGAGCCTTAATAATTCTGCTAAATCTACTCTGCTTGTGCTCTATAGATAGAACAGCAAAGCCCGGATGGCAGCACATCTCTTTACAGCACAGTTTACTGAATGTTTTAAGCTCACTATTGAGACCTACTACTCAGAAAAACAATTCCTTCAATATATTACTTACTGCTCATTGACTGTATGTGGTCACTCAAGATTTCTGATGGAGATATACCAGGCAATTCATGTTGTTTTCATACCTGTTTACACAACATTTATTCTGTAGCCCATGAATCAAGGAGTAATTTTGACTTGCGAGTCTTATTTAATACATATAGTTTGTAAGGTTACAGCTGCCATAGATGGTGATTTCTCTATGAAAATCTTCTGGAAAAGATTCATTATACAAGATGCCATTAGGAACATTCATTATGTTCATGAGAGGAGGTCAGAATATCAACATTAACAGGAATTTGGAGGAAGGTGATTTCAATCTTCCTGGATGACTTTGAGAGGTAAGACTTCAGGAGCTGAACATGTGGTGGAAATAGCAAGAAAACTAGAGTTACAAGTAGAGCTTGAAGATGTGACCGAATTGCTGTAATCCTATGATAAAACTTAATGAATAAGGAGTTAACTTCTTATGAATGAGCAAAGTGGTTCCTAGAGATGGAACCCATTCCTGAAGATGCTATGAACAATGTTGAAAGGACAACAAAAGTATTGGAATGGCACATAAACTTAGTTGATAAAGCAGTGTCAAATTTTAAGAGAATTGTCTCCAATCTTCAAAGTATGAGTGAAATACTATGAAACTATATTACATATGACAGAGAAATCTTTTGTGAAAGGAGAATCAATTGATGTCTCAAACTTCATTGTCTCATTTATTTTAATTTTGCTAGAGAGTGCATGCACTTGCTGGAAAGACAGGGAGAGTTAGAGAAAGAAAGCTGGAGAGCACTTCCATGAGGGATGACTGTGTACAGTCCCTTCACCCCTATTTCTCCTTTTGGGATTTTTGGGCATGCACACACATGTGGTGTGTTTTTCTCTGGCTTTAGGACTGGAACCGTGAACTTGGTCATGTGGGATCCAGCTGCCTTAACTACCACACCACCAGCCAGTCCCACTATTGTCTTATTTCAAGAAATTATCACAGTCAAACCGGACTTTAGCACCACTACCCTGATCGATCAGCAGCCACACCATCAAAGCAAGAGCCTTCATCAGCAGAAAGATTACAATTTACTGAAGGCTCAGATGATTGAAAGCATTTTTTAGCAATAAAGATATTTACTTTATGTACATTACCTTTTAGACATAATGCTATTGCATACTTAATAGTATAGTATAAACATAACTTTTATGTACATTGGGAAGCCAAAACTTTGTATGACTTACTTTAATGTAACACTTGCTTTATTGCAGTGGCCTGGTATCAAATCTGTAGTGTCTCAGAGGTATGCCTGTATCATTAAAGCATAGTGTAATGTAGCTGGAGGAATATTACCTAAGAAAATTCCGATTCGAGCTAAGCTTAGTCCTTTGCTCCCTAGGCCAACTGGAACAGGGCAGAAGGAGAAAATGAATTCCAAATCCCTGGAAGAACAAGACACTCCTCTGACCAATTGCAGGAAGCCTCTGGCACTGATGTGAGACAGTTGGGTCCTTCATTGGATCAAGGCAGTAAAGATGTGCGTCATAAAGGCAAACGTGGGAAAAAGGTAAAAAAAAGAGGAGTACGATAAATGTGTGCATTCTCTTCCACTGGTTCCTTTAACCAGTTTCATGTATTTATATGATGTATCATCGTTTACTAAAGCAAAGCAACTCATATAGAATCTGGAAGTGATCACAGGCAAGGGCCAGCAGGTAGTGTGGAGGTTAAGGTAGCTGGATCTCATATGGCCAACTCATGATTCAAGTCTCATTTTTGGTGGCTTCACAATGGACATGCACCCCATACTCAAAATCCCAAGAGGAGAAGGGATTGAGGTGTGGCCATTCCTCCCAGGGGGTGATTTCTCACTTTCCATCTCCCTCTCTTTCTCTGTAACTATCTCTTTGGCAAATGCATGTGCCCTATAGCAAAACTTAAAAAAAAAAAAAAAAAAAAAAAAAAAAGATCACTGGAAAAACATTTAGAATCAACTTTAACATTTCCCTTAAAAATGTATTTTGTGTTTTGGGCATAGATATTTCTTTCCAACTGTTCAAAAGATTTTAATATTTACCTTAGTGATGCATATATTTCTTTGTATTTCTTCCTATGTTCATCAAGAAGTTGGAAATAAGTTTCTTGCTGTCTTTTTTTCTTACACTCTGCCATTTTTATTCTGTTCATTGTTTTTCACTCATGGGCAATAGGACAGAGGTTTTGCTTTAAAAATATACTTAGTAGTTTATTCTTTTATTTGTCAGGTTCTTAGTATGTGATATGTTCTGAATGGAAAATTTGGATTACAGTTGAGTATTAATTGAGTGCTGAAATTGGGCGTATATAGTAGAAAAAAGTTTAAGTTTCTCCTTTTAAGGAATTTATATCTTAGCAGAAATTACAGATTAGCCAAGAGATCTTTTCTGTCTAATATGTTCACTAGATAAAATTACACCCTAGTGTGATAGGTAAGTGTGGTGAATGGATGTTGTGGGAAGCAGTAAGGAGCTTCTTCCTCGAAGACATTTTGACCAAGATGAATCTCACTGTCTAGTATTTCCTTTTGTGAATATATCTTAGTTTCTTTAATCAATCTCTTATTAGGGAGTACTTGGCATAAATCCTGTTTATTTGCTATTATGGATAATGCTTCAGTGAATAACTTTGTAGATCTACTTATTGATAAGTGTATAGGTAATCAGATACATTTTCTTTTTAGAATTATTTATTTATTTAACTTTATTTGTTGTTGTTATTTTTTAATTTGACCAGGTGAGAGAAAGGGAGAGGAGTCTACCAGGTCTGGGATTTGAACTGTGATAGATCATGTGCGAGTCCAGCACCTTAAGCACCATATCACCTGCCAACCTCCAGATAAATTTTTAAAAGTGAAATTACTTACTCAAAAGATAAATGCACTTGTGGTTTTGATTGACCAGGAGTGTATTAAAGTACTTATTTACCCATAGCCTGGTCAACAGAGTGGGGGGTGGTCAGTCTGTACGTATTTTGGCAGCCTGATAGATGAGAAATGGTATAATAGAATATGTAAATTTGCATTGGTTTCATTTTGAGTGATGTTAGCATCTATCCTTAAGTGTCTCTTGAGTTTTATTTCCTGTGTATTATCTGTTTATGTTCATTTTTATTGTTGGGTTATTAGTCTTCTTCTCTTGGTTCCCAGGAGGTTTTTATATATCACAGATGTCGGCACATTGTTAAAAGGTAGAATTCACAAAAATTTTGCACAACTTCTGATTTTATTTATAAGTGGCTTTTCTCTATAAGTTCTTGTTTTGTTTAATGTGTGTGTGTGTGTGTGTGTGTGTGTGTGTGTGTGTGTTTAGTTTAATTTGACCAGAGAGAGAGAGAGAATGGGGGTTGGGGAGTGAGAAAGCAAAGCAAGCCACCAGGTCTGGGACTCGAACCATGGTCGGCCATGTGGGTGTCCAGCACCCGTAGCCACCATGCCACCTGCCAGCCCCGTACATGTGTAGTTTTGATTGCCAGAGGGTGCATGTACTCACCAGAGAGGAAAGAAAGAAGGGAGAAGTACCCCCCATGGGGTGTGGTCACACTCCACTCCCTTTTCTACTATATCTCCATCCTGTCAAGATTTGAGGCACACATATATACATATAGAGCATGTTTTCCAAGTTGCTGAGGGGCAGGACTCAAACTGCAGCTGGCAATGAGGGATCTGACTCCTTTTTTAGTTCATGAGGTTAGCCTCTTTATATTTTAAAAGAGGCTTTTTTGTATTTCTGTTGGACATTTTCATTTTTAAGTTGTTATAATCTATGAGTTCTGAGCCTGCTCCAGAGTTCTTAGAATTAGTTAATTTGGCTTTTGAGATTGGCTGTTGACCCTAGTTCTCATTGCAGTTGTTAAATTGGCAGTAAACAAGTATGTCTATGTCCTATTTCCTTTTAAATGGAAGGGCAAGTTGTTCTTTCTCTGATTCTTCTTTCAAATTATAAATTTACTTGAGCTCCATTAAAATCAGTTTATTTGGCTATATAGCTCCTTACTGATTGAGTTACTTAACAGAAATCTTTTTATTTTAATGAATCTCATGTGTGTACTAATATCTAGGGGTGATAGTTGTATGATGTAACTCATAGCTAAGGAAAGAAAAAAGTCAAAGTATGATTTGATAAATGTTATATTGGAGTTATGTTGACTTTTAAGTCTTCCAAGTGGGAACTTAATGTAAGACCAGAATAACTTTCAGTTTCATGGCAGTTCCAATATTATACTTTATAAGATATACTGGTAAATAGACTTGCTGAAGATATTTTCATAAATTACCACTAATATTTATGGCTTAATATTTTATTATATTATGCTTTCCATTTTTCCCCTTCTTGGTTCTTAACTAACATTTTGAAATATTTTTACCGCATAGGCTAAAGATACTTCAAATGAAGAACTTAATTTGAGTCACATTGTACCCTGTGAGCCAGTTTCAGAAGAAAAAGCAAAAGAATTACCCGAATGGAGTGAGAAAGTGGCTCACAACATTTTGTCAGGTAGTAACAGTAATAATAATTTCTCCTCTATAATGTGAAATCTTTGGAATATATAAAGGAATACTTAGAATGATAATAGTTTTTTTTTTTTTTTTTGAGAGGTTTTTTTATAGGGCGCGTATGCTCGCCAGAAAGACAGAGAGAAACAGAGAGATAGAAAGCAAGAAATCACCCCCCAGGGGGTGATGGCCACGCCACAATCCCTTCTCCTCTATTCTCCTCTCGGGATCTTGGGCATGCACGCACATGCGCCCGGTGTGAGTTTAAGCCACCGGGTCCGGGACTTGAACCACAGCCGGCTACATGGGGGTTCAGCCACATAGCCATTATGCTAACTGCTGGTCCCAGTATTTTGGTTTTAAGTCATCATTTTAGAAATACTTAAAAGTTGAGATCAGCAGTTGGCATAATGGCTATGTCACTGGGCTCCCATGTAGTTGACTGCGGTTGGAGTCCCGGACCTGGTGGCTTAAACTCACACCGGGCGCATGTGCGTGCATGCCCAAGATCCCGAGAGGAGAATAGAGGAGAAGGGATTGTGGCGTGGCCATCACCCCCTGGGGGGTGATTTCTTGCTTTCTATCTCTCTGTTTCTCTCTGTCTTTCTGGCGAGCGCACGTGCCTTATAGAAAAAACCTCTCCAAAAAAAAAAAAGGAAAAGAAATGTTTAAAAGGACTGTTTTCTTAGAATATCACATATTGTCGTATAAGTAAAATTTTGTCCTGGCCTATATTTTTTTTCCCCTTGGGAATATTGAGAGTGAACAGTTTTAGTAATGCCCAAACTCTCAGAACAACTCTAAACATAAAATTAGTTACTTTTCTTCTTCTTTGAAGTTTCTTCTTAATTCTTCCTGACCCTGCTCTGGTCTGAATGTTTATATCCCCCCAAAATTCTTGGGTTGAAAACCTAAGCCCTAAGATAATAGTATTAGGAGATAGGGCCTTGGAAAGGTGATTAGGTCATGAGGGAGGATCCTTCTTGAATGACATTAGTCCCTTCTAAGAGAGGCCCCAGAGAGCTGTCTTGCCTCTACCATCATGTAAGATGGTACTGTTCTATGAACCAGATAAAAGGCTCTCACCAGACACCAAATCTACCAGCTTCTTGGTGTTGGATGTCGACCTCCAGAAATTTTATAAACTTCTGCTGCTTATAAGCTGACAGTTATGGTATTTTGTTAATAGCAACATGGATGGACTAAGACATCCACCAAAAAAATAAGATGGTTATCTGTCTTTGGAAGTAAAGCAGCACTCCCTAACCACTTAGCAATGTAAGCATGAGAAGATTCAAGGTTTATAGCCAAGGTTATAGCCTAATTGGAAAGTAGGCCCTGCTATTTAATTATAGTTAGAAAGGGCTTTGTGTTAATTACAGATGCTCCTCAACTTAGGTTAGGTTTACATCATGATAAACAATCATAATGGGAAAATATTATAAATCAAAGATGCATAAAATACACTTAATCTACTAAACATAATAGTTTAGCCTAGCCTACCTTAAATATGCTCAGAACATTTATATTAGTATAGAGTTGGACAAAATCATCTAACGTAAAGACTATTTTGCTTGTTTATTTTTTGTTATTTTTCACAGAAAGAGGATCATTTGGAATAGAAAATACTAGGTTTGGCCATCTTTAGAAATACCACCTGCCACAAAGTCAGAGGCCTTCTAGATACTACACAGGTTCTACATAGTTTTACTGAGAGAGATAGAGCATTCTTAAAGACAGGTAATTCCTGGAAGTAGATCTCTTAAGTGATTTCAAAAGAACTCTCAGCAATGCCTTAATTTAGAAATAAGAGAAACTGCATCCTGGTACTACTTAGAAGTCTTCTTTACTATTTGAGAACTAAGTTTCTTCATGTCACTCAATCTTTTTCTTTTCATCTTTGTGCCCTCAGGGCTAGAGTTTTAGTAGTATTCCTTACAGTTGGTGACCATAAAACCATTTCACTGATACCAGAGTCTTGTCTGTTTATGTATTTTTTAATAAGTAGAATGAGTAATAACTAGCTCACTAGATACTTAAGATACAAATAAAAAAGAAAGAGGTAGAAAATAGTCAAGATTTGTTCCAGAAAAAATGATCAAATCTGTCACAAGACTATTTCTATGAAAAGATCAGTGCTCTAAAACTTACTTCCTATGATGAAATTATAGTGGTTTATCAGAAAAGTCATGTTCTGTATCATCTTAGATTTCAATTGGCCTCTTACCAAGAGAGAAGCTATTGCTTGGGCCTTTTGTTGTTCATAACAAGGAAAAATGGTAGATGTTTTTTATTTCAGTAACAGTGGGCAGTGTTCCACTGACTATGGTGGTTAGGCTTAAGTTAGATAATTTTAAGTTATCTTCCATCTTCTGTTCTGCAAATACTCATTGTCTGCCAAATGTCAGCATTATCTGTCTACATAGGATTAAATAAGAGTAGAATCAATCTATTTCTGGCACTACACATGCCGTTCAGAAGCTCTAAATAGCTACTAATAAATATTTACATTTCCTTTTATTACAGTGTCTACAGGTTTAGTGTGTTTACCTGTATTCTCGTTCATGGTGATATTTTGTTCATTGTATCTGGAATTTCTATTAGTTCTATGACTTTTATATGTCATTTTCTCCCATCATCAATAGCCTCCATCTTTGTTTCTTAGAGTTTCACTGAGGATTATTAATCTCCTTTGTTTTCTTGTCATTTATTTGATCATTTCTAAGTCTTTTTCAAATTCAGCTCATTTTTTTATTTCTTAAAACTCTTCAACCTATAAGTTAAACTCTAAAATATATATATATATATATATATTTGAATGGATACCTTTAAGCCTTTTATTGTTATGGCAGCCTGTTTGCCTGTGTTTGAGATCTGGTCCTACCCTAATGTTGGTTGTTCAGTAGGACAGTTGGAGTAGGTTGTAGCATAAGGTAAAGGTGTTTAATGAAACAAGAAAACGTGTAACTTTATAATCAGTTACTACTTGTCACTTTTTGTTGTTAAAATTTTAAATGAACAGGTATGATTTTTACTTGGGTGTTTATTCATGGGCTAGAGTAACCATGTAAAATCATGATTCAGACTTTGAGGACATACTTAAATATTTTTTATCTTCAACTTTAATTGCTCATTGTTTTAGGGTTCACTAAAAAAGAAAGAATTTAAATTGTAAGCTTATCACAGAGGAGGGTAACACTTTCCCTTTGATCTTAGGGTACACTGTTTTTGAGTATCTTACCTTGCTTCTCTATTGCTCCTCCACCTGCTTTCCCTA